AAGATCTAGGCATATAGTAGAGACCAATACGGTCGAAGCTGTACCACATTACTGATAGATGACCCTAATCCTTCTAGATACCTCGCTATTGTGTTTCACTGGTTCCACCAACTCACATTTCAGTATGACTTGATCAAATTAAAATATTTACTTTTTAACAGAAGAAATTTTCTGAAGTAGATTAAAAAGTAATATAAATATATTATATCGATAATAAGAGGAAAGATATTTGCGCTGCATCCCCCTTTTTATCTTAGAATGTCTTATTATTTTACTCTTCTCTTACCACTATCGAAGACGGTCCAAGTTTTCTAACCAAAAAGAAGTTTTCTTCATAAGCTTGATGGTTGTTAATTTAACTCTATTATCATAGGAAACATCCTTGTACTCAAAAATTTATTCTACAATTTGGAGGGACTCGATGAACTCGTCCGGATCCATGCGACCGTCAAAATCCGACAAGTCATTTTCAATCTAAAATATTTACTTTCTCCTCTAATATTCTATGTCAAGTCGACGGGGCATTGGTTCTTCATCGTTGGAAATTGTTTTGTGAAATGAATTCACTTCCTCCTCTCGATCTTGAGAGTCAACGTCGTGAGTATGGGTGACCTCTCCAAGTTGTTTTCTCTCAAAGGCGACAATCCATTATTAAATTTGAAAAATTTCTTACTACATATCATCCGTAGTAAGCCCATGGATGTCTTGTTGAAGATTTCACCTTGGTGGCATGGCTTCTTACTCTAATTAAAATTTCAGATAAAAAGAAAACTGTGGTTTATCGTTAGGGGTAGATGGGTGATGTTGGGATTTTTTTTTCTATGAGGGTGTTACGTTACGTCGTATAAATTTTTGTGTTTGAGAAATAAAAAATAAATTCTTAAAAATTTAGGGTTTGTCGGACTCTGATATTAGATGACACCGTTTTAGGGCTTCTAGAAGAATTGTGATAACACTTATAAGGGTTAGAGACGTTTTAGCAAGGGTAATGGAGTGGGAGTAAGGATGTCGACTGAGTTCTAGTATGAACAATGGTGGGAAAGCAAGCTGATGGTGGAATAGAACAAACTTTCTGCTGTTTACAGCAGACGGTAGCGATTTCGACAACTGTCTATCTGAAACGACAAAGTTCACATAGCAAGAATGTTCCAACACATGTTCCTAAGCAAAGCTACAAGCAACACCATTTAAAAACACAGTGAGGACGTTCCACCACATGTTCCTAAGCAAGATACAAACAACGTCATTTAAAAAGGGAAGAGGGTAAAACACTTCTAAAGCAAAAAAATCACATATTACAATCTCCAAAATACTCAAAACAAAGTGAAAGTCCTCCAAATAGAGAAAATAGCACATAATAAGTTTCAAGTATAAAATAAAACAAATTTGAAAAACAAAGCAAGAAATAATTCAAAAATGGCAAAGATTCCTGTAGGAATTGCTAACTGAATGGAAACTGTCCGTTTTGTCTTCTTGCGATTGCAGGAACTCGTGTTTCTGCGGTGTCGCAAAATCTTGCGATGGGGATTGCTAGATCAAGCGCTTCTGCAACGTCGCAAAAATCCTGTGATGGGGATTGCAAGATCCTATGATTCATTGGTCACTCCAGCATCATCACCCATCCCAGAAGTGCTCCTGCACTAGCATGAACTTTGAAGTTTCTGACAAAATTACAGCCATCATACAAAAAGTCTCATTGAGGATTAAGAGTAAAAATTCATTCTACTTAAGAAATTTTACAATCTCACCCCCCTCTTTAAAAAACTGATATTCTAGTCAATATTCTCATCCCCAAATTAACCACCAAATAGATATTCTCATCATCAAGCCAGTGTAACGCTCTAATACCATTTGTAATAGCCTGAATCTCACACATCGAGATATTGTACACTTTGGCCTAATGGCCTCATGTTTCTAACACATTGGTGTAACTTCCCAATAGATCAACCGTCCTAAGGTCCTCACTTATTCCTCTAATATTCAATATCAAATTGAATTAAAAATGAGACTTTACGTTTTCTCTGCCACACATTTATGTTGTTAGGCTTTTCATGCTAGCAATCATCATTGGCTAAGAAAAGAAAGCAATTCTTTTGTTATGTGAGATAAAGAGGTGAAGCTAATATTATGTGATCTCTGCCTTAAAAAGGTGGAATTGGAAAATAGGCCAACCACAAATTTTAAAAAGAAGGGCTAGCATAATATAATAAAAAAGTTTAAGGAAAACAAAGAAAGAGAATATGATAAGATGCAATTGAAAAACAAATGAGAACAATTAAAAAATGGTTGAAAAATATGGAAAGAGTTGAAGCAAAGATCCACAGGCTTGAATTGGGATCCAATAAAGCGAACCATCAATGTTTCGAAAGAATGGTGGGCCGAGAGATTGAAGGTGAGAATTTATGAAACATTTAGTCCTTCACCTTTTTTTTTCCTGTGATTAAATCAACATATCAATCATCCACTATTTTGTAGATCGTGTCAAATGCCAAAAAAATTTAAATTCAGTAGTATTGACCTGAACTTGAAGAAAAGTTGGATCATATGTTTGGTAGAATCGTGGCCACGGGTGATCATGCATGGGCCCCAAGCGAGGAAGGGTTTGTTGGAAGAGTTAATCATGTAGATGCTGAGCAAACAACTTCAGAGCAAACGACTGATTCCAATGAAAGCCTCAACCCTAACCTCAATGAACTTGAATCTACCAGCGATCCAAACATCCTACGTTTGAGAAAAGTAAAAAAGATAGTGCAATTTTTATTTGAAACCAAATTTCATAGTTAGTTGCTTAAAGCACCTAGGACCTTTAACACATCACAAGGAACTTCTATTCAGCAAATCATATGAATTCTGGAAGAAATTCCATAAAATTATAAGGACATATCACTTTCCTTGTTCTCTGCGGTTGCTTAAAGACCCGACCAGAAGCAAGTTCTTTATGTCGATGACCCTAACCATAGGGTCCATTACTTGTGTTATTTCTATGACAACCAAGATGCATGAATTTTGGTTAGGGTCGACTCATTTTAATGGGTGGCTACCACAAGCGGCGGCTAACTAATCTAAATTAATTTGAGAATAGAACAATCAATCAAACTCATTAAATGGAAAGAAACGTGGAAGTATGCGACAGGCTAAAAAAATATATATAGAAAATATAAATATACAAAAAATAAATTTAATACCTCAAGTTTTTCATTGTCGAAGTATAAAATATCTGCTTCTGAAAGGTGTGTTGTATTGATATTCTAACATATTATTGCATGCCAAAATTCCTATTGCATGTCATATAGCAATTCATATTCATCTGGTTGGTTAAGAGTTGGACTAAACTGTTAAAGGCAGATCCTGAACATCAATAATACTAAAACTAGGATGATTTCATCACTCCAAACTAGGTAACTAGTCTATTATTTGGGCTCATTACAAAATTAGCTGGAAGATCCTTGATTTTGGTTCAACGACCAACAAACTCGATCAACTGCCCAAAATGGGTTTGACAACCCCAGAATGGATAACCTATCAATCCTCCTAAAAATTTTCCCAGAAATGGTCCGAAATCCTACAGGTTTATTACATAAAATCTTACTAAGCTCCATAACATGAATCTCATTTCTTTAAAATTATTTCTCCAAAATTTTGTAGTGAAAGACCAGAAAAATTGAAAGGTTTAGCATAAAAATTTTACTACCTTAATTTTGAGTCATATAGTTTATATAACATAGCCTGAATTAGTTATTGAGAATAAGGGCTCAATATGAATTGCTTGCAAATATTGCAACAATTACTAATCTAAAAATATAACTAGAACAATTATCTTAAGTTTAAAATCAAGGTTTAATGAGAAAATGATACACTAGGAATTTACCTCAATAGCAGTTTGGTTTTGGCGAACAAAAATGCTAGCCTCAAAAGGCAGATCTTTTCTCTCCCTCTCTTAAATGAGAAATGATTTTGATTCAGGTGAGATAGGACAAACTTCCTGTATAGGTGTACAGGTTTAAGAGGGCTGAGAAGTATGGGGTAATAAATGGGATTAAATTGCTTACACGAATTTTGGGTGTGAAGTTATGAGTAAGGTTGGCTGAGAGTGGGTAATTGGTTTCTTGGGGTAGCTATCGTTTGGAAAAGATAGAAAATGGATAGTAAAAAAAGATGGCTTAGGTTGCAATTTGAGAGGCGGTGAAACAAATGAAAAAGGAGGCACTGAAGAAGTTAGGAGAGGGAAAAGAGGCTTGAAAACAGGGAAGGTGAATGCCATGAGAGATGGTGAGAGGAAGCAATGATTGGCCCTGAAGGTAAGGCTGGCATCAAGCAAAGTAATGAAGAGAGGAGGAAATCTTGCTGAATGCTTGAGATTGGGCGTCTAAAGCTGGTAAGGGAATAGCATTAACTCTAATGCCATTTTTTTGTACTTATATCAAATAGAAAGTTTAGTTGACCTTGCTTTTTTGAGATGGTTATTATACTACAGCTTTTTTCATCCTAATTATTCAATAATATTTTTATGTATTTACCTAATGGGTGCATTTTCTTACCCCTCATTGTACATGTCAACTAAACTATCTTAAATGATATTAATCCTATTGTTTCTCAAATATAATCATTCCTTAGTTTATTCATTCAAGTTCTATCATATGGTCCTCTTAATATTCTCCTGCCACACTCAATTTAAATATCAACAATCATTTTCATTAATTAGTATATCATAAGCATATCCATCATAATTAAATCTTTTTAGCATAAAACTAAATTGACTACTTTATATGGTTATAATTTTATTCAAGCTTTTGTTTCACCGCTGCCTATATATCTTCTTCATACATCTTGAAAGTTATTTCAGCATAAACAAAGATATCAAATAATATTTAGACATGCAAAGAAAATGTTAAGCCCATAAGAATAATATAAATTCTACACAAAATTAATGGCAGACGAGCATAGGACTAGCTTGGTATAATTCATGCTTTGTAATTAAAAAGATAGATGGCTAAACCAACCTTTTCAGCATTGAATTTTCTCCTCAATGTTTTAACTCGTTGGGGTTCATCATCTTCCCAGGTTAAGTTGACTTTGCAGTGCTGCAGTGCTCGAGTTTGAAAGTCTGGTTCCTTGTAACTTGTTGGTGCCTGAAACAAACAATTTAGTAAAAGAAAATTGAAAGAAAAATAGGAGGATATTTACAGAAAAAATTATGAATTCAAGAAAACAAATAGCTGCATTTATAGTACCTCCGTTGTGACATCACGAGGAGGATGTTTGAATTCCATAGAATCAGGAATGAATCTCAAATCAAATACGTTTGACGTTCTAGTAAGCTCAGTGCCATCAAGAGTGTTGTAAACATGATTTGCAGTAGCACTTGAATCAAATACGGCGACAGCATAATAATACCTGAAAGTAAACAAAACTTGATGGGGAATAGAGCTAACTGAGAAATATTTGAATTACATATATATATATATATATATATATATATATCTGTGTGTGTGTGTGTGTGTGTGTGTGTGTGTGTGTGTGTGTGTGTGTGTGTGTGTGTGTGTGTGTGTGTGTGTGTGTGTGTGTGTGTGTGTGTGTGTGTGTGTGTGTGTGTGTGTGGTATTTAGTAAGGGAGAGAGAGAGAGAGAGAGCGGAAAAGAATAAACACAAGATGAATATAAGAAAGTTCCATATCAATATGGAACTTTCTTTTATTCTTGAGCATTAAGGCTAAAGGCAAAGGGATGAGAGAGGAAAAAAAAACATAGAGTGGGTGGCAATAATAATGCTAGATTTCAGAATGGAGCTTTCTCCATCTTTTAAATTTTGTATTCTGAGAGAGAGAAAAATTATATTTAAATGCAAATCAATCTAATTCATCTAATATTCAGTCTAAACTACGCACATTGCATTTTTCTAATTATTGATTTCTCTCCATAGTAGATATAAAGAATAAACTTGAAATTAATTATCTTTTCTAATTATTAAATTTTAAAAATTAATTTGAATTTAGGTCTAACATAAGTGAAAGCTAAAAATCAAGAAGGATGTTATGGATGGAGAAAGCAACATAAGATCGACTGTAAGCCCATATCGTTTTGCTTTAGTTATGGATGTTCATACTGGACATTTACAAGTGGATGTTCTTGGTCTATGCTTTTCGCTGATGATATACTTGTTGTGGATAAGGCTAGAGAAATAGTTCAAGAAAAACTTGAATTATGACACCTTAGACAATTTAGTCACATTAAACATCGACCATCTAAAGATCTAATTAGGAGATTAGATGTTTAGATTCAACATTTTTTAAGAAAAGTTGAGGTAGACCTAAAAATACTAGAGCATGTTGTATAAAAAATTATCTTAATTTATTAGAATTAAATGAAAATATGACACTCAATAGACATAATGGAGAAAAAGGATTCATGTAGCCAACCTAAATTAGTAGGATAAGGGATTGTTGTCGTTGTTGTTGTACTGAGAAGCATAAAGATTTATTAAATTTAACCTTCCATGTAATTACAAGCAATGAATGACAGAATATACATTGTAAATCGTTTTCTCAAATGTCTTATAAAACCTAATATTTAAAATAATAATAATAATAATAATGCATAATACTAAAAAAATGTTTTTCCCTAATTGAGGAAAAATCACATCTATCAAATAAATCTAATATTTAATCTAACAGTATGCATGCATGTACTTTACTAATTATTGCATTCTCTAAATCAACTTAAATTTTTTTTTCTTTTCTAGCTGTTAAAAATTCAAAATAAAATTTAAATTTACAAAAGCATGATAGAAGTTGAGAGCTCAATCAAGAAATTAAGCTTTTTTTTTTTATCAAGACTAGAAAGTACATCAAGATTTTCTTATAAAATTGTGGAGCGCAGTGATCGAGAGATTAAAAAACTAATGCCTCCTAGAAAATTGTCATATAAAACCTAAACTTTAAAATTATTATAACAACAATATTATAATAGTAAAAGTAAACAAATAATTTTATTTAAAAGTCAAACCACATCTATCTAATCTAGTCTACATATCTTGCAATTTTTTTAATTTATGGATTCACTCCATAAATAATTTAAAAATAAATTAAATTTTAATCTTCACTTTGCTAGTCAAATGAAATAAAATTCAATTTGAGTTAAAGACTAACATAAGCTGAGAGTTCAATCACAAAATGATGTTGCTCCTCATTTTTTTTTTCCTAATGTTTTATATTAGAAAGAGAAAGCATTACCAGTTTTTCTCATTCTCGAATAGTCCCATCTAATGCATAAGAGAATTAAAAACTAATAATGTTTTCTTATTGTCCCATTAAATCTAATCAAAAAAATTCTTGCAATAATAATAATTTCATTCTCCTATACATTGCATGTGTTGTTTTCTTTTTTAAACAAAAGGTAATGCAGCCATGACTTTCATCATGATAATAACTTAAAAAGTAACAATTTGACTTGACAGTTTTAAGAAGGGAAACGCAGGACAACACATTACTAAATAAAGCCTTATTCGTAGCATCAATCCATCAAGGTGATAGAGTAACATGAAAGCATTAAATGGTGGTGTTAGCCTTAAAAAAAAAGAGAATAATTAATAATTAATAATTAAAGTTCCCTTGCTAAATTCTATTTGTAGAACATAATAAATAAGAGATTGACCAGAATTTAAAAGTAGACAAAATATTGTTTCTGAATTGAAAGGTATTGATTCATGTGAATAGACAAATCACGGAATGTAGAATCAGTAGTGATTCCTAAATCTGATCACTCACTAAAAAGCACTCAAGCTAAATAAAAACTGCGTCAAACCTAGTCCCATATTTTGATGTTAATTTCTTCTCTAGTCAAAAAAGTATATTTTTAACTCAAATAATTTTAAAACATATCTAAAATAAGTCACATTTCATGTCAGCTTCAGGTTAATTATATCAAGCCATCCTCATTCTTGTTTTCTATACAATCTCGAATCATGTCATGCCGAGCGAGTTCTTTCATACAGTCAGCAGTAAGTTGACAATCCTAGGAGGGCCATCATAAAGCAGAAACTCTCAAGCATTATATAAAATAAGAAATATGTTTATGTTTAATTAAACTATTAAAAATAGTGCATAACAATGATATCATTCACTTCAAAGAGAAAATACCAGAGCAAAAAATAGACTTAAATACGAAATACTTAATTTACAATATTAATGCTCCGTTAATCTTGCCTAATTTACATGAGCATCTCTAAATAAGGCTAGTTACCATATAAACCTTAAAAAACTCCAAAAAAATATAAATTATTAGTCAATAATAAACAAAAGAACAATAAGTTCACACATTTATGATAAACAAAATTAAATTCCACCTAACAGAAACAACAAAAGTTTTCCTCTTGCTATGCTCTCATAAGACTATATGAGAAAAATAAATTCTAAAACAGAATAGGATATGATAAAAGACAAAATCAGAAACAAATAATAAAAGCTAAATGGAGATAAAAAATAAATCTATTGATATGTTCTAGAATGATGACTTGCTAGCAGAATAAAGAAAAATTAATAGAAATAAAAAAAATTCTCCATCAAAGCAAAGCACCTTAGTTTGTTCATTTCATAAACACGTAGCTTTTCATTAAGAATTTCAGGATCTGGTTCATCCTCACTTGGCTCTTCATCATCACAAATAAGACTTGTTGGCCCACGGACTGCTTCAATTTCCATACACTTGAGCCCAAACTCTGATGGATATATGGTTACTGATAAAATTTGGCCACTTTTTGGAAGACATGAACTCATTACAACATATAGATCAACCGCCTGCAAAAGGACAGCAAAATCAGATACACAAAGCAGGCAAATGATTTAATTAAACATTAGAGTGTGTATGCTTCAAGAACACTGCAACCACAACTCACTCATCTCGCTTAATCAAATAAAAAATAAATCAAGCATGGAGCTTGGTTTAGTTGGCTATAGCATAAGAAAAATCAATTCAGAGATCATGCAAGAGAGAATCAATAAATAAAAGCACATTCAAAGTTTCAAACTGCAAAGATTATGGCCATATGTGTCGTCTTCATGTGAAAAATATTTTTTCAATTTCTTCTCAATTAAAACATGAACTATAACATGGCAGTAAAAAAAAAAAAAGTGATGAACAAGCCACAAATGCAAATAAAAACAACAAAATAATTGCTCAAGAGCAAAGTCCTGAAGTCAGTGAAGGATAAATTCATTTTCTAATGATAGCTTTTCATATATCCAGACAAACTTCACAACAACAACAACAAAACTTTATCCCACCAAGTGGGGTCGGCTACATGAATCCTTTTTTTCCATTACGTCCTATTGAGGATCATATTTTCATTTAATTCTAATAAGTTAAGATAACTTTTTATACAATAAGTCCAAGTCTTTTTAGGTCTACCTCTACCTTATAGATGTAAGATTCTCCCCAACAGAACTATGACCCCTTTCTCACATTGGATGCTTGGTTTACTTGTTAAGGACTTGCTCAAGCTATGTTTTAAACATGAGTCAACCCTTACATAATGTTAACTTTGTTTACAACCATGTTGAAAAGAAGCATATCAAAATTGTGGTTTGAAAAGGATTGCTTTTCAGCTAGGCAATACTTAAAAGTAAATTGTTGCTCCGGATATACTTTAATGTTATGAGATCCTCGACTAATGGCTGAAACTATTAGATTTTAATCTGATTTTATCATAGAGACTATATTTATCATAGAATCATAGTCCATATGCAAACGTGCTTTTCAGTTACAGGTTACAGGACAATCTAGATTTCATTCTCATGCAATTTAGCATATTGACCTTGAATGAAAATATCATAACTACCCCCACAACAAAATTTATTTTCTCCCTCTCAAATATTTTTCAATGAATAATTTCTACGCTAACTGGGATAAAAATAAAAACAGACATTAAAAAAAAATGGTTTCATTGAGTCAAACCAACATTGAACCAAAAATAAAAAAAGACAACATAGGGATTAAAATGTGAAGCGCATTTAATGAAGAATTTAAAGGCAATTTAATCAATAGATCCAGCTATACTTGTAGCTACTAATTCATAGAGCTAATACTTAAAGGCATAAGATGAGCAATTTTCCAGTCAAATAAAGAAAATTTAAATGAATAGAATGATAGGAAAGCATGAATTTTACACAAAAGAAAACCTTTTTCATACCTTAATGTGATCCCAATCCATGTTAACAATGGCAAGCCTGTAAGTTTCTTGATCAACTGTTGGTGTATCTTCATGGTTGGCCATCAGATACCGACAAATGTCACTATTCACAGAATGCTACAAATAAATGCAAAACTTGGGTGAAGAATCAAAATAACCAGTTTTAGATGTGTAAAAACATAGGAATTAAGTGGTATGTATGTAAACCTTCCATCATAAAATTCAGTAACATTAGAAAGAAATTTTGATGTAATAAGTAAATACAAAACTCACGTCGTCATCCTCATCATTTTCATCGTCCGTGGTAGAACTACCAGTATCAGTACCCCCGTCCGAAGAAGTAGAAACTTCCTCTCCAGTTTCTTCCTCAGCCTGCTCGCTTTCCACATCTGCATCCTCCTCAGGCTCTTTCTCATGGAGATAATAATGCAATAAAGGATTCACCTCCTTTCCCTTCCTCGGCTTCCCCCTCTTGTCCACTAGCGCCGCAGACGACGAAAAGCTCCGATCAGAGAGCATGCGTGCGAACCGTGAATCGATTGGGACCTTCGCCTCTCGCTTCGGCATCCGTCGGAATCGCGGATCCAACTGCGCAGACGCGAATCGAACATCCGTGATAAGAATGTCCTTTCTCTGTTTCTTCCCTGTCTCCTCTTCACCGTCGTTCTTTTCCCTCTTATGTTTCTTCTCCTTATTCCGATTAACCCTAGACATAGAATGATCTAAGTCCACCTCCGCCTTCGCCGCTTCATTATTCTCCTTCTGAAACCTCGCCTTCTTCTTCTTCTTCTCCTCCCCTTTTTTTATCCCGTTCTTGGCCATAAGAAACGATGAGTTGGATCTTTCGTCCTGCTTCTTTCGCTTATTCAAGTTCTTCTTATCCATTTTCGATTTCGTACTTTGATCGGCAGTAGCCGGCGGTGACATGGAGGCAAGGCAGTGATGGAAAGGCGAGGACTTTAGGAGCAACGGGCGAGGAAAGTAAGCCAAATTTAACTTAAATTCAACAAAACTCTGCCTTGCAAACCCTTCTTCTCCCTTACAAGCCTTCCCCCTTACAAGCCACCGGACTCCTCGAAGTCTTACCCCGCGAGCTTCGAAACCAACTTCGACACCGAATGGCGTGAAAGAGAAGGTTTTGATCCTGCAGTTCGACGGATTTAGTAAATCCGGGAACGCGAAGAAAGGAAGGCTCGCGCGAACTCACCTGGGTTTCGCGTAGGAGAAAGAGGGGAGTTTCGCTAGTCTTTGTAAGCTGCGATCCCGTTGTTGCCTTCCCGGCTAGAATCAGCTAGCCTGTATTGCCGGTATTGGGAGAACTTGGGCCGCGGAAGGGCAGACGGAAGCGAGGGTTTTGCAGCAGCGAGACATAATTTGCTTCTGGGGGTTTATATCATGCAACACATTTGTTGTTTAGCACAAATTTGCTGCTGCTATACACACATTTTTGTTTTCATATATTTATAGTTTATTATAAAAAAATTATAGAGGTAACTCTCAATATTCAATACCTTCTGAATAACCTCCCTGACATACGTACTCAAATTTTTCTCTCTGACGGGAGCGGGGATGGATGATACATTTATTGATGAAATTTAATTTTATTTAAATTATTTTTTATTAATTTAAGTTATCAATAAGTTATATATTAAATTTTAATTTATTTAATAATAATCTATGTAATTATTAATTAGTATAATAAATAAATAAATAATTGTTAATTAACAATGTTAAACACTTACTTCATAAATATTAATTTTATAAAAAAATTAATAATAATAAATTAATTTACTGAATAAATATCTTTTAGTTAGCATTATTAGAAATAAAATTTAAATTGAATTTAATTATATTTAATATTATTATTTTTTATTTTTTTAATGAACTAATAAAAATTTAATTAAAAGTTTGCATTATAATAAAATTAATTGATTTGTAAATCTCAAAAAATTTTATATGATTTAATTTTATTTATTAAATCAACTACTAAATAATTTTTGTTATTTAACTGTTTCTGGATTCACGAAATTTGAATTTATAGAATTTATTCAGATTTATAGAATTTTGTAAATCCTAATAAACTAAATCTCTGGAGTTACCCAACAGTTCAAGTTGAAAAATATAGTTAAAATTATTAATAATCAAGAAAATAAATTATTATATTGGTTAAAATTTAATTTAGCTTAAATAATTATAACTAAGTATTTAAAACTATTCGCTAAAAGAAATTAGTATTTTTTATGGTCTAATTTATTTAAAAAAGTTATTATATTTAATTAATCTAACAATTTATTAATTTGTAATTATTTTCTATGTTGTTTTAAGGAAATTTGGCTTTATAAGTCAACTTATAATATGTGTAATTGAGTAAATTTCTCTGCTGTTTATATTCTTTAAATATTTTTAACTTAATATTTTTTTAAGACAATATTTACCTCATATTGCATTAACAAGTTCAAAAGCGAACCCTAGTTCAAATTTGATTCAAACATTTGCGTAAATCTTAGTTTGAAATTTGTTTAAATTAAATGTTAAAGATATTGGGGGCAGGCATCATAGGTGTCCGAACAACAAGAAGACAACACATAAACTTGTTGGGGAAGCGTCATAAAACCTGTCACTACTGAAGGTGTTGCAAGGCCAACACCATTCACGAAGTGCTCGCTCATAAGTGATTATTGTTGGTGAAGGCATCATGGGACTTAATAAAGATGAGGAAAGAATGAGTTCGCATTTGGGCATGAGCTCCCTAAAGAAGGCATTGTGAGACCATCGACATGCAATGTCGATGTTATCAAGAACCCATTATGGGATTAGCTTCATGTGAAAGAAAAATGATTTCACATTTGGTTGAGAGCTTATAGGGAAAGGAGTCTTGGGACAACTAACCTGCGACCTCAATGTTGTTAAAAAAAGACGTATGAGAAGAAGAGGATTTTACTTGTGGGATTATTAGTGTGTGACATTGTCATGGAAGACAACATAAAAATGATAATGTGTGAAAGAAAAAGTTTTGAACGGGTTTGAATCATTTTCAACCCTTTGTATGAACCAAGTTTGTATAAGGTTTAATTTAAGTTTAGAATTCAAACAAATTTGAATCATATCACATTTAAAATAAGGAGTCTCAAAATATAGAAGAGATTATTTTGCCTGAAAGAAAATATTATGCATACTCTTTTAATAAAATAAACGTAGAAGACATTTGTTGAATTATATGCATTATGAATTATATCAAATTATAATTATCGTTATTTTATGTTAGTTCTCATTTAATATAATAAACTTTTTAAAAAAATTAAGTATATATAATAAAATTTTATAATTGATATATCAAGTGAAACTCATTTGATTTAACACAGGTCTTGAGGCAAGTTCAAATTATAAATTTTAAAATTAAACTTAAGATTATTTGAGCATTGGTTTCACTGACCTTACAATGGATATGAATCTTTTAATCAAATGAATCTATTGACATTAAAAATAATATAAACAACACTAAATAAGCTTAAGTTAAGCACTAAAAGCATTATTTTAAACTTTAGGATATTATTTGGAAGATCAAATGATTTTTGGATCTTATATACTTATAGTCAAATCAAGCATATTATGAGATAAATTCAATGAATCTAGCATAACTTGACTTTGTATATTAGGCACTCAAAAAATTAAAAATATTGTATAATTAAGAGGGATTGCTTCAAGTCAACCAATTGAGTATTTTCAGATTCTGGAAAAAATAATAACTCCATAAATCTATAAATAGCTCACCATTCAGTACATGAAGATATATAGATAAAACAAGGAGGAAAGAGCTAAGAGGCATTGCCTCCATCCCAAACATCGTCGTAAGACCACCACCACCATTGGACCACAATTATAAAATGTTTATTAGAATGAAAATTTTATGATTAAATATTTAGGACTTTAAAATTCGCACTTTTACTTTTCTGCATGGCCTTCGGGCTGGATTTTAAATGGGTTGCATGCATGTCTATTACCCCCGTCATGTTTAATAGGGCCTTCATATTATGATTGATTAGCTCACTGGGTCATATTGCATTTCCCGAAGAGAAGTCCTTGTGTTTCTCCAACGACTGGTCTAACATAGATTTCTAGTTAGGTAGTTGTCTAGTGTGTTTAAGGTGTTAAAAGACTCCCGACCAAGACAGGTGTAAGCCCTTTTGTTGAGAGTGTTTCCAGCTTTGCAGTCGAACCTCTCTTTTTCCTCTTTTCCAGCAGCATACGCGCCACTTCGGCTAGTATAAGTCCCACCTCTTGGAGTTTCACATGTATTCATAGGATATAGTTTCGTTCTTTTGATCTTAGGGCTACTGAGGTCCCTATGGACGACACAATTCATGAATTGTTGACCAGATATCTTTGTACGTGTTGTGTCGACTATCTTCACAACTAGGTAGACTTAGGGTCCAAGTAGCTTGGAATGATGAGCTTGTGATACCCCGACCTAGCTACCTCTTACTTTCAGGATTACTCTACCCTTCCTCTTGTTGAGCCTTTTTGAGTCATATTGCTCCTTTGACTTCATTGATATCATCTTGACGGCCCAATTATTGATGAGTTGTCGGTCGTTTGAGATACGGTAATTCATTTTCCGCCCTTATAGCTCAGTGAGCTCTGACGTATAAGGATATCCTCATCGAGATGATTTTGGTTATTTTGTAAGTTATGATGCTGACGAGCCGCTACCCATTTGGGATGTGAGAGACCTATTATCTACCCCGTGGCTTAGGGAGTGCTTTGAAGCATCGAGACATTCCCATAAAAAATAACTACTCTTTGATGGTCTACTCTCCATGCTCATGATAATATAAACACAACTCCTTTTATTGAAAGTATTATTTGACCTCCCCAAAGATATAATTAACCAAAGGGATACGTTCCTCTGTAAGACTCTTGACCCCATAACAATTTTTTATTTTTTTTATTCTCAATTTAATGGTGACTTATGTAGAGATTCTCTTCATGAATGATGTGTTTTAACGTACTTCGATCTTATGTTGTTCGGATATATATTTTGGACATATCACACGAAGATTACCCGTATATAATTCTTCCGCTTGTTTCTTTTTATTTGTTTGCATATTTATTGTCGTGTATCTTTCTTTTCGATTTCTCTCATCTTCAAATGATTAATACGATTCGAGAGGGAGATTATTATAATAAGAAAATTATATGATGACATATAAATAAAAAAGATGGCTGACTCCGAGTGCTTTAAAAAGAATCGAGAAAACAATCCTCATAAAACATTGAGAGCTGCTTTAGCTCAAATCAACCTCAGGACCCATAAGAACTTTAGTTGCACAATTAATAACAACATGACCTCAGTTCCCCACACAAGGAATTCAACAGACAATTTATCATCTCCACTGGAGAACACGAAGAGAATCCAGCTTGGAACTCATGCAAAACCCCATTAATGCTAATCCAACTACGGCCCGGTTGCTTCCTCACACCTCTCACCTTCATCAACCTTCTTAGCTCCTCAATATCTTCCCAATTCTGATCAACAGCATAAGCATTAGAAAGCATGACATAACCAGCAGAGTTCTCAGAATCTGCAATCAGAAATCTTCGAGCAAAATCATGAGCAACATCCACCTTGAAATGGACCAAGCAAGCCCCTAGCAAAGTTCCCCACACAAGACCAGTAGGCTCCATTGGCATGCTCCTTACAACTTGAATGGCCTCTTCAATAAAATCAGCACGAGCTAAGAGATCAGTGAAGCAAGCGTAGTGCTCTACCTTGGGACTGATCAAATATTTCTTCTGCATATCATTAAAGATCAAACGTCCTTGATCCACCATACCTGAATGGGTGCATGCACATAATAATCCCAAAAAAGTTCCATCATTCGGCTTTACATTTGATTTCTCCATGTCGGAGAAGAGTTTCATAGCAGCCTCTTCTTTACCATTCATGGCAAGACCCATGATCATGGCGTTAAAGGAGACCACATCTTTTGAAGCCATTCGGTCAAAGATCTGTTTCGCCTCCTTCAAGCTCCCACATTTTGAGTACATGTCTATAAAAGCAGTCCCGACGATCTTGTTGGATTCTAAGATTCCTTTGCTGACACCATGCTTCATATATTCATGAGCCCATTTTCCAAGCTTTAGGTCTCCCACCATGGCGCAAGCCGACAGCATGTTGACAATGGTGACATGATTAGGGTTTGGAGTAGAAGAGTTAAGCATACAGAGGAAAAGATTCAAAGCTTCGATGGGCTCACCATTCTGAACATGGACACTGATCACTGTGTTCCAAGCCACAATACTCACAGTCCCATTTTCCCTCTTCCTCGTTTTTTCAAACAGAACCCTGCTTTCCTCAACTCTGCCCAGTTTCCCATAGAGGTATATAAGAACTACAATGGCTGAATCCCTGCTACTGTATTCTTCAAGAATTCTCAACCAGCAATCAACCTTTCCGCTCTCCATACCAGAGCAGGCTGAGAGGATGCTGACCATGGTGTCATCTTCAGGCATCAAATTCCCCTTAATCATATCAATAAAAAGCAAGATAGCCTCCTCTATGGCGCCAGACCGTGCATACACCGCAATCAAACAGGTCCATGCACAGACCATGCTTTTATCAGGCATTTCATCAAACAGCTTGCGTGCGTAAGAAAGATGCCCAACACCCTTCGCATATGCTGATAGAAGAGCATTGCAGACAAACGGATCGGAGCTATAACTCGACTTAGTAACTTGAGCATGGAGTTGAAAAACATGGAGCGCGTTTCTGGAGAGAGAACAAGCTCGAAACAGTTCGGAGAAGGTGAAGTCGTTGGGGGATATGGGGAGGCGTTTGAGGGAAAGGAATAGCGAGAGAGATGAGGAGGGAGAGGAATCGGATAGAATGCGGATGGCGGCATTGAAAGGAAGAATGTTGGGGCGGTGAAGGAGGCGGAGGAGGTTGATGGATTGCTCCGGGAGGCGGAGGCGGCCGATGAGAAGAGTTGCGAGGAAGTTGTTCTGATGGGCGCCGAGGCAGAAGACGCGAGCGAGGATTTGGGGAAGATGAGTGGAGTGAAGAGGAGATCGTATGAGGGCGGTGAGGGCTTTGAGGTCTGAGATGGCGGCAAAAGAAGGGCAGAGCATGAACTGTTTCTAGGAAATTTGAAAATGGGGCGGCTAACGGTCAAATTGCGTCTAAAATTTGAGGGGCAAATTTGGCTGCTGCATTAGAGTGATACGGCAAATGTATGCTTTCCAAGGGGTGAAGTTCCATGGCAATCTTCCATTGCAATGAATATCAGCATGTGGAAAAGCTTTCATTTGGAAAAGTTTCTGAACATCTCTTAAAACTATTTCCCAAGAATGATAATTTTCACCTTTTTCTGTTCAGCAAATGTGACTTTTAAAGGAGTTTTACTGAACCATGCAATTGCTTCAAACGAAGTCGTAATGTTAGAACTCATTTTTTAGTCGTTTTAAAGCAATTTGATTTTATTTCACAAAGAAATACCATTTGGTTTTTTCCCTGTGAAAAAAGACCTCTCGTTTTTCTTAACTTTCCGATCTCTATGTAGGAGTTTTTTCTGGTAAGAATGTATATAAGTTATTATATTTAAATCTTAAATGGATTTTCAATATATATATAATCTTTGTCATTTTCTGGCATTCATATTATAATATCCTGGTAAGTCCTGACCTACTAATTACTTTATTAAGCCAACTTAGTCATGGGGAGACTTCACTTGTGAGAGTTATTTTTTTAGGAGAACTATTACTGGGAGACCACTTTTGGGAGAGTTCTCCTGGGAAAGTTGTTTAGGGAGAGATCCCTCAGACCAGTTTAGTTCCGCTCTTGGACGAGTGAACGAGTTCAACTATTCTCCTGAATGAGTTAACACGTTCAACTGTTCTCCTGGACGAGTTAAGCTCTTCGATAAGTGTAGTTATTCACCTTGACAAGTAAACGAGTGAATGAGTTGAGCTCCTTAAGCTGTTATATTTTTCTCCTGGACAAGTTCATCTCCTAGATGAGTTCAAAAAAGTTTTTGACAAACTCAACTCCTTTGAGTTATTGGCTGTGCTGCCTGAACCTATCAAGGAGATTTTAGTCAAATATTTAATTTTTTTTAATTCTCTTATCTTTCTGAAAGATTACTGCAAAAAGAGAAAAATAATAATAAATATAAAATTAAACATCACTTGCCTTTATAAGACAAATTTTTATTTCACTAATCCAAAAAAATAATTTCTTGCATATGTTAATTATTTATCTATTTGGGGGCCTTATGCTCTTCTATAGGGAATTATTCCTTGGGGGAGTACTCTCATTGATTTCCAGATCATCTTTATTATAATTTTAATCAAATTATTTGTTTGGTTGACTTGATAATCTTATAGGGTGAGGTCCCCAAGTATTATTAGAGAGCTTAAATATTTTCTAAGAAATTGTCTTTTTTTGCGATTATATTAATTATTTCCTTGCAATATAACTCAATTATAAAGTAATTAAGATGGTTTCATTAAACTTAGTCTATCTTTTGCATGAGGGTCAAAGCTCTCCTACATGGAGAATTAGTCATATTTTTTTCAATTTCTCTTAAATCAAGATCTTATGGACTTTAATCCCTAGGTAACCGACTATTCATTATTTGACTAAGTTATATTGTGGAAAGAATCTCTCCAAAGTCATCCACCATTCAATTGTTGAACTGAGTATTATCTAAAAATTTAGACAATTTTCTTCTTTCTTGAAAACTTGCTTAGAATGTGTGAGTTACTCAAGTGTCATTGTCGAAATCATTCTATATAAGAAGTAATAATTATATTACTCGTTATTTAAACAAAGAAAAAATTAACAAAAAAAACACAATGAAATAAAACAAAAAGAAGAAGAAAGCATTCTATATAAGAATTTTTCCTTTGTTAACTTTGTAGTTAGAGGTGTCTAAGTTGCTCAGCCCCACACATTAAGCAACTTCTCTTTTTTTGGGCAAACTGCTTTCTTGAAGCTCTTTTGAGAGAACTCTCTTAAAGGAGCTATTCTAGGAGAATCTTTATAGGAGATCTATTTTAGGAGAACCCTCATGAAATAGTTGTTTTTGGAGAGCACTCCTAATAGAGTTGCATTAGGAGAGTTTTTGTGAGAGAGTTATTTTAGGGGAACTCTCATGGGAGAACTGTTATTTGGACAAGTGGATGAGTTGACAAGTTCAATTGTTCTCCTGTACGAGTATTTTAATGTAATGCATGTTGCTCGTAACTTCTCTGTTACTCAATTTTGCTCCCTATGTAGTTCTTCTTCTATTTTTTTTTAAATTTTTTTTCCTTAGGCACTCTTCTTTTTGTTAGTGGCATGCTTCACATTCATCGTATCTTTTAAAAATTGTGAATCATGTTTTGATCATGAAAGCATGCCCAAGGTAGAGCTAGTGAAAGAGTGAAGGGCGAGCTAGAAAGAATAGTAAAAGAATCTACCACATTAAGGGTATGTTTGGGGCAACTGCAGCTTTTCTAGCTTCTGCTGATAAGCAATTGATCCTGATATTTGTTGATGGGCAGCTGATCCGAATAAACTGGCTGGTTGTTTGGTTTGTACGTTTGAAAAACAGCTTATTCTGGATAAACGACCACTTTGCCCCTGTTCTGGAAAAGTTGTTTAGCTGTTTGTTTTGTGTGTTTTGTAAACAGCTTATTTGCAGATTTCCTTAGTTGAATGAATAATCTGTCATGCAAAATGTTATTTTCTCAAATGTCAAGACATGAAAATGCAAAAAAATTGAATAACATTTATATAACTCAAAAAGTTTTGATTACATCAAATAAGCACAGTGACATATACGAAAGTGAAGTACACATTCACACACTAATATGGATTATAATAAGACCCAAAAAAAAGAAAAAATAATATGTTAAAATTACAAGAAAAAAATGACAATATTGACTTTAAAATGTAAAAGCACATCACGACGAATGTTGCCCGATTCTGATACCTCAGAACCCCGAGCAAATCTGTCCGACTGGGATATCGTAGAAACGAAAGCACTCAAACCACATGTGGTGGTCTCCCGTTGTGGTACTGTCGAACTCCGAGCAGTGGTGTCCAAATGTGATATAGTAGAAACAGTTGCACTGTCGGCCCACCTGAAAAATTTGCAGTCTTTTGGTCCGTGTCCCCACCTTGGGTACCTCTAGAATTGTAGCCCGTAGCTATGTGTCTGTCGTGACGTGAGTAGTAAGGACGGTAGCCCATATCAACACATCACTTGCCCAGACTTCCCTGAATACCTCGAACTCATCGTCCTGCAATTATTATAAAAAGAGTAGATCAGTCAAAAAATTGAATTACGCCAACACTACATCTACAACAAATCATAAGATTCATAAAATATTGCTTGACAAATGGCAGTATTTTAGAAATATATCAACCGAGCCTTGGACTTTCACTGTTTTTTACTGCAGAGCTTTCCTCCGCTGATCACAAACACCACAAAAGGCAACAGTTGCCTTAAAGAAGGGTCATCCAAGTTGCTTCAAATAGAGGCACCATCCATCCAGTTTCGATAACCAAACAATAAAAGACCCAACAACAGTTACTATGGCAGCCATATATAGTAACTTTAAAAATAGATAATGTAACTACAGTAACCAGAAATTTGTCACTCGCCAACAACTAATGCTTAAAAAGGAATATGAGACCAATGCAACAAACCAATAGCTAATAACCATTTCATTCCCTGCATTTCCAAGGTTCATCCTGCAACTAAAAATTCAAAATCAAATCAGAAATTAAAATTCCAACTGCAAGATCTATACAAGAAGGAAGCCCGATGATTCACAGTTGCACAAACAACTATTGAATCTCTCCAAGAAAAAAGCTAAAATGATTTAGTGTTACACAACCAGCTCTTGAATATTTACAAGAATGAAACAGAATGATTCCCAACTGTATAACAATCAGTTTCCCACTATTAATGTTCCATATCTCAATGGAACTCAATGAAATGCTACAGCAAAACTTCCAAACTAAATCTCACAGGCTACCAAAAGAAAATAATACCACATACCACAAATCCAGTGTAGGACAATATAAAGCCTCCCAAATGCAAATCTAAAATGCTGCCATAATGATTCCAGTAGGTAAGAAAAACAGAACTTCCCAATATAAAAACATAAAGCCTCATATATGCCTAATATAAAAACATAAATCATTTACCCCTTAAATATATTAAAGCTTTGTGTGGTACACATGTCAAAAACCTAAGTAGTTTGAAGCCTACAAATGAATCGAACATATACAGGGATGTTAGCACCCAAATGATGCAGCAGGTAATTCGAAACCCATATGCAGCAGTTAAATCCAAAAGTATTACATATATACCACTCAATTTCTCAGTGAAATGCTTCGTTTCTTATAATTGAATCATATGCACCAACAATAGATGGAATTACCTGCTGCTAGAAAGACATTTAATAGCACCCATATAAATTTTCTTTTATCTGAAATGTTTCTTTTCTTATAATTCAAATCCATTGACCTGCTGCTAGAACAGTACTCAAAGCATACTAATTGCACTCATAAAAAGGTTAAGAGTAATGGTCCATGAACAACAACCACGACAAAGTTCTGAATAACCCAAATAACAAGTGAGATATGAACAGACATTGACAATACTTTTGGTTAGAATAAAAAGGGGTGCAAACATCAAGATATGTGGTTCAAAGAGCTTAAGGTGAAATAAGTTGATTTGAATTATAATTATAGTTTTAAATTATTTTGTTATTCTATTATTATTAATTTTTTTTGTAAATGACTTGTTGGCGACCTGAGCATCACCAGGAGATCTGGCATAATTTTGGGGATCGCGTCAGGCATCGATTATGGACCACTCCTAAATATTATAGAAAGAGGGATACGAACAAACAAAACTGGAGGATCGACGGTAGCAGAGATTCTGCACTCCACATTGGAGGATCGATTTCATACACAGAACACTAAAGTAAGATGCACTCAAGATTCAACAATTCATTAATGCAATTATCTGTTAGTTTCTATTTTTTCATGTTCGCAAGCTCAAGAGCTCGGTCGATCACCCACCACAGCGGAGTTGCATATCCGAACACAGCAGCGCTTGTGGAAGTAACAG